TAAAGACCTGGTTTTATTCGTGCTGCCAGCAGCTGCACTGTCATTATCCCCTGCTCATATGTGTGTGTATTCAATTTAATCTGGGTGTATTGTAGCTGGTCATCCTTCCACCGTTCTGCTGTCTGACATCCACAAACATTTAAACAGCATTGCAATGATGGTTAAGTCTCACTTTCACTCTGAGTGATGAAAAATTAAACATCTCAAGGTTAAGTACACAAGACAAAAAAACAATCGAGAGACGGAAGAGATCTAAGATAGCTTGGTGATCAGAAATATATATATAATATAGATTGTATACTGTCATTTATTCCCTTAAAGCTGCACTAATCAATATTTTTTATAACGTAATGGTGTAACATACTCCTAGTGTTAACTATGAACTTGATCATTACTGTATTAAAACTAGCATCTGGTTGTGGCCAAAGCAACATCAACAGTAGGACAACTGAACACCAACCAACAACCAGCAATACATCACCTCACTACCTTACATCGTATCACTCCGCCAAACTTCATCATCTACATTACAGGCAAGATGCATCATATTATGTACTTCCGCATCTAAATTATAGAACAGAATACAAATATTTATGTATGTAGTTACTATGAATTACATTATGCCAATTGTCTCAATAAACCTGAAGAAATTTATCATTTCATGTCATTTATCTTCATAAAATAAATCTTACAGTAACAATGGATCAAACAACTACTGTAAGTGTAATGTAGTGAGAATAACCACCTGTCTTTGGAGTTTCTCCTAGCTCTGTGGAGTTTTTATTAGCAGATTTCTGGTTGTTTTAGTTTTCCACTCCACAACTTTACTGTTTTGGTTCACTCTCACTGCTCCTTTAGTGTTGTTTTTCTGCAGCAGCAAGCAGCTGTTTTCAGCGAAAAAAAAAAGGTTCTGATAAAACCAAACGACAAACAGACAAAGTCAGTGACTAGCTGGTGAACACTGCAGAGCATTTATCAGATAAAGAGACAGAAATTTAAAACAGGAGGGGACTAGTAATCTGGCATAGTGGGCATTTTCCCAGAGGGCCGACGCACCAAAGGGCCACTCAATTTATATATACAATATAGGTATATATATATATGACGGGCCTATAAAGGACAGCAGCCCAATCACATCCTCTCTCCTTTGCTGATGCTGCCAAATGCAGCAATAGCTTCAACATCCACAGCAACAGCAGTACGCGCCATTACGCAGCAACAGGTTGAAGGAGGAGAGGTTGGCTGGCTGTGAGGAGCAGGTGTAGTTGAAGATATGTCAGGGAGTAGCATGCAGGGAAACATGAGCTCTCAGGGAGGGTGCAGGGAGGTGTGTGCCATGTCATGATAATGTCCGCAAGAATGGTGAACTGGTGGGTGGTGAGTGTAGGGGGGCTGGTCTGGGCCAAGAATGCCAGGGCTGATATTTTGTGCCAGTCCAGCCCTGAATTAAAAGAAGAGTGACTATTTGACTTAAATTCAAACATGACTTTGAAATGAATGTGTCTACAGGAAGAAGGCTTTTTTTTTATAAAGGATATGTGCCTGCCCCAGGTGGCCAATACATCTATTAATTCTGCTTGAAAAGAACGTAAAGCATTTTATTAGTTATTGTGTGATGAATTGTGGAAATCATAACTTATTTTTATCTACTTCACCTCATCGTGCAGTAGTAATTTCCACTTAAATAAGGAAAATGTCCTTATTTAATCTATCCTTTATTTTATCCATTAATTGTTTTTGATATTTAGGTTGTCCCAGACTCTAGCAGCCTTTAGGAAGAACATTTGGAACAAATAATGATGAATGAATATTAGATGAAATAGTGTCACTAACAATATATCGTACATATACACTTCATCACACAATAATTTGTATTTCTGTATGCGTCTGGATCCCCAGCCTTGAATAACTAAAAGGAGTATAAATCGAAATTCTACCTCTGTATTAAAACCTAGTCTTAAATCTAAAAACAGAGCCTTTTCAAAGTGGGCACAGCCTGAAATGTCGCTACCTCCTGAACTCCTGAACCGGTCCTCATAAATGTAGAAATACAAGTATACTCACATCCATACTGTACACATAAGCTGAGCAGTGGGAAGAGAGCACCTTTTTGTGTGGCGTTGAGATAAATAGGATTAGGGATTTGGGAGATTTAGGGGGAATAATCCGTCTGTGTATCGGAGAGGCAGCAGCGGTGATGATCAAAAGAGAACGTTGTGATTCAGAGCTCAGAAATCTCTGGATAGACTGAAAACTTGGAGTGACATTTCCTCCATTTTTTCTCCAAGGATCAGCTTTCATTTTGTCACTGTGACTGCTGTAATTGCCACATAATCACCTCATACTGTACAACACTGTCTGTGTGTGTGCGTGTTTGCACAAGTGTCTGTGTACGAGAGCCGGGGATAGACAGAGAATTATACATTCACAGTAATTAATCAGATTTACAGTTTACATCAGGGGAGAGAGAGAGAGAGCTAGTCTGTTTGTTGTGGGTGTTAGTATTAAGCAGGGGATTGGACTTGGTTATTTAACACGCAGTTCATTTGAACAGCTGCTCTGTTCTGCTACTATCTATACCTCCATATCAATACCACATATGCTAAAAAAAAAATCCACAAAAACACTGCACACTCGTAACTTCTCTTTTCTGCAGACTGAAACATCCCTTTTTTTGGTTGAGTGGGCCACCCAGCTTCTTCATTCTTCGCCGTTACCCACTTAAAGCTATTCAGGAACACAAGAGGCCAGAGCTGACCCTAGAAGCATTGGAGAGGAAGCAGGAAAACAGTGTAGACGGGCCATGTGTTTCACAGGATAGACAAAGATACAGTGTCACTACAGGACATGTAGGAACGAGCAAAACCAAGTCGTTTAAAAACCCAACTGAGATAGATTTCTGCTGGAAAAACCTGATTGCTGTGCACAGTGCAGAATGTTTTGAGACCCTAAGTTTCCCAGATTTTTCCGCTCTGGTGCATCCGACTTCTACTAATGGTCCTTGAGATGCTTCTACAACTCGATTAGAGTCCACCGATGCCTAAATTAACTCATCAGACTTCCAACTAGGAAAGGCACCTGTCTATAAGGTCTGCCAGCTGATGATGTTTGGCAGAGTGAAAAGCAAGCCATGAGGTTGAGAGAACTGTCCACAGACATACGAGACAGGATTGTGTAAAGCAGAGGACTCCAGTCTTTTTGAGAGTGAGGGCTGCTTAAAGGGAGACAATCTGTATACGTGATATACATCCAGGTTAGACTGACTCAGAACTCATAGGTTATTCGTGGGCTACAAGGCGCCCTCGGACACTTTGCTGGAGACACATGGTGTAAAGATAGGTTCGCTTTGTCATTTTTTGGGGGGAAAATTAAAGTCTGAAACATAACTAAATTTGTAATTTGAATGGGTCTGAAAAATTCCTGTGTGCACTGTAAACCCTCAGCTGGGTTCTTTCAAGTTTGTGCAGTAACACTTCAACAGGGAAAGTAATTCAATGTTGAATAAATGTGTTACACCGTCTCCTTTTGATTTGCAAGCGAAAACTGTTTTAGAGTCATCACACTGCTGCAAAAGTGTTATATCCAATTTCCCAGTTAAACCTGATTAGTTCAGCCGTCACTAACAATCAGTATTCTGATTTAGGGACCAGGAAGTAGCTGATTTGTAGTAAGTACACAAGCTCTTATGCTGAGAAAACGTGACTTTCTGTGGTTCAGATAGATTTCTATCTTGTCCTCGTTTGACCAACTAATGAGACCCGTTTCATGTTGCAGCATGGGAGAAAACTCAATTACAGACATAATTTTACCGCCAGAATAAATGCACAAATATTATGCTTAATAACATACAGACTGTAGCAGACTTGCTGTCTAGCTATGTTAATTCATTAAAAATAATGTTACAGTAGCAGCAGCCAACCACCACACACGCTGCTAGAGCCTTTCAAGCTGCACACACTCAGCAGAAATCATTCACAGTCAAGTGGAGTCACACACATTAATACCTGCAAAGGCTGGATGCCATTCAGGTAAATTTCAGCCCTTACTGAAGCACTCGCTTTACTGGATGCTATTAAACTCACGTTCAAAGTGTTAATCCAGTAATACATACATAATGTATTATACAGAGCACTTTCAAACCAAAATATCTTTGCATAACTCATAATGCCACATAAATGTCATGTCATTTTTATAGAGGGAAGCTAAATTTTAGTCACTAAAGTTGTGTTTGAGTTACAGCAAACATTTCGCTTCAATAAATAACTTGTGTAATGTTGTAGGAACATTTTGGTCTGACTCACTTCAGTACAAATCACCAAAATCACCTCCACAATGACGAAGGCTGTTGACGTTTTGTAAAGGCAAAACAGGATTCAGGGACACGTCTTCGCATCTTTGGAAAAAAACTGGAGGAGAAAACACACACACACACACACCCACACACACACAGTGAGGTGCAGACTTGTGTACGCCTGCGTACTCCAAAACTCTTCTCTAGTCGTAAATAAAGCATTGTGTACTGGAGAAGAGCTGCCTGAAGAAACCAAAGGAAAACCAAGTAAATATGTTTTTTCGAAATAAAATAACATAAAAATGAAATGTGTCCTTTATATTTCAAGTCGTTTCATCAATCTTTCCTCTATTAGTGTACATGAATAAATAATAGACCCCAGGTGACTTATTTGCATTTTTCTGATTTTCGGTTTTAATTGAAAACATCAATAATGTACCAAAGCATTAAACCTGACACTGTGATGTATGATGATTTTACACTGTAATAAGTACATTTTATTTCCAAGCTTCAACCACACAAAGCCAAATGAGGGCAACCATTATCCTCTGCTGGCCACGGAGCAGTTTAGAGTTTCAGTAAAATATACCTTTGAAAATACCTTCCAAGGCTGATTCTGAAAGCTTCCATCGCAATTACCTTCAATGGATCAAAAATATTTCATCAGTGAGGTGATAATGTGTTCCCAGAAAGTCAAAGACCACTCCAGTTACAAAAAAAACCACATTTATTGTCTAGATATTTCAATCATTTTAGATAAACTAGCATTAAGACCATTTAGTATTTCTCCTGATTAGACGTTTCTTTTCCATGTAAAAGACGTACAAAAACAGTTTGTTATTTCTAAAGCATGTCCTGTAAGAAAAAAAAAACAGATATATACATTTTTACAAACATTCAACAGACAAAAATAGATTTAAAAAAAACGAAGCACAATGTCATGAAATTAACGAGTTTAAAAATGGCTGAAACTGACTGATTCCTTCCTGAAGCTGAAATACAACTGCACCTTCGCTAACCTTCTCTATGAGACTATCTTGACAAATAATTTAATCTAGCTGGTATTCTTAAATCTTTTGTGTAAGGTGAAAAAACAACATGACACAGTTGTACTTTTCAAAGGCAATTGTCCCACATTCAAGAACATTAGCAGAAATAAATGACCATTATTTTGTAAAAAAAAAAAAAAAAGACAATTCTGATTTTCAGATGTTTGTTTAGTGAATATGGTAGAAAGGTCTTTTCTCTTGTTTGACACAAGATTAATTTATTTGTCAAGATGATCTTTTTTTAGAAGTACAGTTAGTCCCCATTTATGAAGCGTGATTAACCATCTCATACAGTAACACATCGTGTGAGAGAGTGTACAAAAGGCAGGGCCGGGGTGAATTTACAACAGTGAAGACAGAAACCAAAGGGCTGTTTCAAATTAAGGGAAAAACATTTAATTCAAGAGCATTAATTGTAATCATTAGGACCTCAACCAATGAACTTACTGTGAAAGAGACCACAAGCAAACAAACTGCATTAACATTATCAGCAGGGGGCACGCCTAGACTTCAACAAGACCACATGGAAAAGGCCATGTGACTGATTACCAATACTAATGTCAGTTCAGTAATAGTCTGAGTAAAGGTGGGGCTCGCTCTGCCAGTATGAAGGCTTATGTTGCTTGTGGACTGTGGAGTACAGCCAAGTATGGAAATGATTGGCTGCAGGTACAGTAGAAGAGGTTGATCAATGGAATTTGACGATTAATTCAATCTCTGAAACTTATTCCACCTTCACCAATTGGTCTTTCAACCAGAATCATTTGAAATACCAGAGAGGGAAAAAAAGAAGAAAACAACCAACACGTTCTGTAACAGCATTTAAAGTGTATGATCCTGCCCTGGGTGCTTATTTGGTTTTGGAAAGCAAATCTTTCTACCTTTTAAATGCACTTTGCTTCACGAGGATCAAACTAACCCATCACAGAAATCAACAACAGCATGATGCTAGACAAATCAACACAGCCTTCATTATGTTCAAAACTGTCATTGTGTTGTGTGTGTGTGTGTGTGTGTGTGTGTGTGTGTGTGTACTAAGCGTGTAGGTGGACAGCTACCACTACAGTGCAGTTAGTGGGGATAGGACTTACTGTTAAGACAGAAAAGGTACTTTTTCAGACAGTGTAGGCGTATCAGAACAGCAAGCTGAGGTTCTAAGGTCAGAGAGTCAGAGCTGAGAGATCAACAGGCTGTGGGCACTGTCTGTCTGGAACAAAATAAAAACCAACATGTTCTGCACTCAATGTGTTGCTTTCTCCTCCTCCGTCTATGCATTATTTTATCAGTTTCCGTCCACATACATATTCAATATTCAATCATCTGGTTTGAGTGTTCGTTCTAGGGTCTCTGCCCCCTGGTTGTCACACTCGAAGTGTGTTTTAAAATCTGACGTTCAGTACAGTGTTCTCCCTCTGCCCCCTTTTGGTTCAGTCATTGTCTGGTCCCTGTAACTGATCCCTGTGCAGTCCATAGCAGAAAGCAGTCGAGACACGAACATCCAAATAGTTCCTCTCCTTCCATTAACATCCAGCTGTTCCAGTTAATTCCCAGCTGATATGGAGTCACGTATACATGCACAATAGATGTGTGCGTGTAAAATGTTTGTCTCCTTTCTGTGTCTCCTCGGCAGATGTGACAGAAAAAAAGAAGGTGCCATCAAGGTCACTCTTGCCTGCGATTTCTGACTCCATGCGAAAATCTCTAGAAACATATCGGGTGTGAGGGAAAGTACAAAATGTCCTCCCTTTCTTTCCATATGTTTAGTAGATGACCTCGTAAACAGTGGCCTTCTTGTCCCCTGAACCGGTGACGATGTACTTGTCGTCCACAGATATGTCACAGCTTAGTACCGAGGATGATTCTTTAGACTGAAAAGAAGGGGAAAAAGTCAGTTACAAATAAAGAACAACTTCTAAGAAAATCACATCATCACTGTTTCTGTGTGTGGGATCCAGTACCTAAAGGTTTTTAAACTATGCTCTTAGAAAATATAATTATGTCTGGTGCTCTCATTTCAGTCAATATTGCTGAATGGGTGTAGCCATGATAACATGTTTGATAATGTTGTCACAGTGAAACATGCTGATGTAGCATATGAGACAGGATGTGTTACCACACTATACCACAATATTTCACTGCACACTCCAACAGCAGGCATTTTTGCAACTTTCATGCGTCATCAAAACTGTAAATGCACAGTAGAGAGTGCTGTTTTTGAGGACACCATAACCACGTCATGGTAAGTAGTCACTGATGCAGTGCAGTGCTGGTGGAAATGCAGCTTGGCCTGTTAAGCTGAAGCAGCAACTTCAGAGGCAGCGGCTTTATATATTATCTGTGTTAATGTATTGTATAATGAATGTAGTGATCTGTTGTCCCAACCTGGAATATGCTGGCTCCATACGGTGTTCTCCATGCGTTCAGTAAGTTATCCTTCCCTGTGCTCACAAACCATTTACCTGGGCAGAGAAACACACACACAAACAATAAGCAATCTCAGGGGAAACAAAAAGTTAGACAACGACATCATTATCAAGACATATTTAAACAGTGAAAAGAGGAACGCCCTATATAGAACAGACAAAACCAATTAAAAAGATAAAATGTAACCTGTGTTGCATATCACCCCCCCTTGGTTTTCCCTTGTTTCCTGTCTACCTCTATGGTGTACTATCTAATTAAGGAAATCAGTCATTTTAAAAGGTAATAATATTAAGATAGACTATGAAGCCAGCAGGGGAAAATTAATAAAAATGTGGACTTAATAGAATAAGACAGCCAGTTTCTTACCACAATAGGCAAACTGCAGGGAGAGCACACAGCTCTCATGTAGATGAAGCTGGTATTTGTCAGGTTTGGTGACATGAAGGACTTCAACGTTGCTGCTCTCCATTCCCACAGCGAGCCACTCTCCTGTTGGACAGTACCCGAGAGAGAAGATCTGCAAAGGACAGACAGTAAAGTTAGTCTTACTGGGGATACTACTTTTAATACAAAGTTTTGCAACTAATTAGTAAATGCTAAACGGTATTTAGAAACACTGTTTGCTGAGATAGGTGTGTACCTGTGACGTAAAGTCATGCTGCTGCAGCTGCCGTCCCTCTCTCAGATCCCAAGAGCGGACAGTGTTATCGAGGCCTCCGGTCCACAGCTTGGTGCCATCATTGGAGATGTCGATACAACTGGCTCCATCGGTGTGGCCCTGGAACTGCCTGCAGGATACACACAAAGACACGCTTTGCAGTTAGTATGCATCACAGACTAGCAAATCTTGTAGTGCTACTGCTTAATATTCTGCCTCTTTGTGCTACAACTTGTTATCACAAAGGTTAAATCAGCAGACAGCTAATTAAGGAATGTCAATAATGTGATTGAAAGGTGGTTAGAGAAACTAGGCAGTAATTGTAGATGTCCTTAAAATTCAGATTTATTTATGCTAAAGTCTGTCTTACCTAACGAGTGTCTGGTTGTGTAAATCCCAGACTGCGATGTTTCCATCACTGCAGCAAGAGAAGCAGACCTTGGAGTCCGGGCTGATGGCCAGAGCGTAACATGCAGGTGCTGATGATGTTAACTCTGCCTTAATCCTGGGAGTAGGCGTGGCCAAATCCCATATTGACAGCGTGCTCGCCTCACCTCCAACAATCAGCGTCCGACCATCAGGGAGGAGACGACAGGAGCGGATGTAGTTGTCTCGGTTCTGTCGTGGCAGACACAAAACAATATATTTAATGTTTTGCATATATACAATATTATACTTCTACATCCGTTTCTGTGTGACTAATATATCACAAATATCTTTCTTTTCAGACATGCACAATCACTGCAGAAATTATAGTTTTAATAGTTTTGACAAACACTTAATACAACACTTAACACTCTCACACAAAAAAGCCAATTTGCACTGTATACCACAGCGACTCACTCACCAGACAGTCAAGCTGTGAAACCGGGCTCTTGTTTCCTGGGTGACTAATGTCCCAGACTTTGACACAACCCTTCCCTCCAGTGTAAACGTGTCGGGTGGGGTTACTGATGGTAACGGCGCACACCACCTCTCCGTGGTTCAGTGTGTTGATCTGACGGGCGTGGCGAGGAATCCCTGGGCCCACCAAGGCGTCCGGGGGGAACGGCACCGGCTGCATCTGTCCGTCGGCTGCCACGTGAAAGGAGTAAGCACTGATGATACAAAGAAAGACGGGAGGAGGTTAAACATGATGGTAGAAATAAAGGAGAGAGGTAAAATAAGTAGTGAAAGTGTCATTATTTTTAGAGGGAGGTTTTTCTAGGACACATCAGTCGTTCCACGGAGAAATTCAGGTGATGAGTCTTCAAACATACAAGCCAACGAAAACACACTTACGGTTTGCCACCAGGGATTCCCGTCAGACTGGGAGGCATCCCAGGAACTCGCATGTGAGGATGAGGATCAAAACTAACCTTGAAGAGAGAACATAGACATTATATGAACACAGTGCAAACACACACCCATGGGCAATGGCAAAATGCACACAAGTCAATACTAACCTGTGGAACACTACACAAACACTCATGAGCACAAAGCAAACAGACACTCTCAAGCGCGCACACGCACACACACACTCCACATCTGAATGACAAGTTTAAGAGTCAGCAAACAGACAGAGGCAGAGCTGTCAGTACTTGTGCTCCCCCGAATCCAACACAGACCCACAGACACACACACAGCTGTTGAGTACACAACCTGAGTTTCTATCAAGTGTTGCCCAGACACATTCACAGCTGTGAGTCTACTAAACCTATTTAAACAGTGTAATGAACACTATGCAAATACAGCCAAGACTGATGAGGCGATTGAACGTAATGCACACCAGCGTACCCACTGTATAAATACTATCACACAGACAGGAGAAATGCAGCTGTGCAACTATTGACACTTTCCACACATTGCAATATAAAATATACAGTGCTTATAAAAAGTATTTACACCCCTTAACTGCCCATATTTTATTATTTTAAAACACTGAATTATAGTGGATGTAATGCTTATTCAACACTGATTGACAAAAAAAATAAAATATTCAAAGTATAATATTTTAAAGTACAAATTCCACAAATATATCTAAATTAAGTTCATATAAAATAACTGACTTCATAAGAATGCAGAACAGCTGCAGCCGTAGCTTTTTTAGACATTCCTTAATAAATTGGATGGAGATTACCTGTGATTAATCAAAGTGTGACAGGAGATTTTAATTTAATGGCTAGAAGCCACAACTGGTGCAACCGTTACTGCTGAAATTTTCCTGGCAAAAACTAAATTTTTAGACAAAAGATCAAATCAATCTACTGTTACTGAAAAGTACAAATACAAGGAAGGACACAAGAAAGTCTCCAACACTCAGCATATGTTCCCCTCAGAGTAGTGCAATCAATGAAAATGGAAAGAATATACTGTAGCACAGCTGTAAATCTGTCTAGAGCAGGTTACAAGGTTTCATGGCTGAGTTGTTTGCACTGTGCATATACAACAACCGTTGCCCAGGAGAACAGCAAAGAGGAAGCCTCTGTTGAAAAAACACTCTTATAAAAAGTCAGTAGAAGTAGAAAGCAGGATTTGAAAATGCACTCTATTCAGTTGACTCACAATCACCATGCAGTTTCACAGAGAATGAGAAGTTTCACAAAGAGTGGGATTTAAAAAAAGCATCCAGATGTGCAAACCTGACAAAAGTCCTTCTACATAGATTTAAAGCTGAAATTCCTGCCAATGAGCCTCTACTTAATACTGCTAGAAGGTGATATGCAATAAAGAGTGTTTAATATAATTAGTTCAGATTTATTTGTAGAGATTTTGTTAAATTAACTAAATTACCTCCAACACAAAATATGAAAAAGAATTAAATAACAATTAAAAACAATTAGTACAATATAAAGTAAACTGCTTATGTTGATATATATATATATATATATATATATATATAAAAAATATACTATTTTGCAGACACACACACACACACGAAATACCACTTTGCCAGAACATAAGTCAAGTCCCCTTTCCACTCACCATTGGTGAACGGCCATACGCAGCTACAGCGGCCGCAGCAGCAGCACTCATTTGAGGTGACATGTTGTGCAATCCGGCAGCATAGGCCGCAGCCCCCGCTGCTCCGGCCAGCTCCCCATTCATCCCTGCTGCGTGGGGCAACATGCCAAATGCACCCGGGTATGGGCCTGGTACAGCCAGGGGGGTCCGCAGACCTGCAGCTGAGGAAGAGAGGAAAGAGTATGGCACATTTAAAAAGCTGATAACAACTAAGAGTGTATTCAAGTTAAAAATCCATTAAATATCTAATTGCAGACTTATGATCACTACACAATCATCTGGCATTACTACTAACTCTTGGTTAGAATTTTTTCTTTGACTGGGATGCAAAGTTAAATTAAGCATAAGCAAAAGGAGATTTCTAACCCAAACTGTGATTTGCTGTCAAAAGATTTATCTTTCATATCAACCAGACTCTGGGGAACTCCACACATGCATGAGGTTTTTCCAAAGTAAATTTGTGCCGTGAAACATTGATCGACTACTGATTAAAGGCTTACAACAGTTCTTCTGAAAGCAAGCAAAACGTCCTAAATCACCCAAAGTCCCTCTAATACAGGTTAAATTTTCCTGGAGGTAACTTAGACATCTAATTACTTCTGGCAAAAATTAGCATTAATAACACAAAGTATCATTTAAACAATTTATAGATGTTTATACTTACTAGGTGGATGTGGTAACTCCATGGAGGGGGGTTTTGACAGACTGGGCCTGATTCCAGGAGTAGAGCTCGGACCTGGGGTGGAGTCACCTCTTGGTGTGGGTGTGCTTGACTTTAGTCCAGGTGTACCTGCCTTGTCTCGCTGCCACAGAGAGAGAGAGAGAGCAAAAGAGCGACACTTTAGAAATATGTAACTATCTATATCTATATCTAACTATATGCTAAAGCAAGTTAAACAAATGTGTCTTGTCCATCCCTACCATTGACATCTCTTTGGACTTGAGGGAGGAGGAGCTAGCTGATGATGCAGTAGAGGCTGGACTGCAGGGGTCTTTCTTGAGAAGACGTGCTTTATCCAGGCCATTTTCTCTTGGTGAGGGGAGAGGCGTGCCACGAGGGGAGGCTGGATCCTGGTGAAGGAACAAGGATTCAGTTAACTACCTGAGAACAAAACTGCTGCACAAAAGTGATGTTGGCATTTTGCTGGATACAAGACTTTACTGTGAATATATTGTGGTTCATTTCAGAAGGGACTGTATACATTCCACAAGAAACAACCACAGTCCTCACGACTATTAATAAACAATAACAAACAGCAAAACATACTGACCTCATTCGAGACATCCACCACTAAATTATCATCACTTTTCTCCCCGTCGCTATCCTGCAAAAGAGGACAATCACTTAGAACACCATTAAACACTGTCCTTTGATTAGCTGAAAGACAGTTACAAGGAACTTACAAGTAAATAACCAACTGGAAATATATATGTCACTCTTAACATTCAATGTGTGACTGATACATCTGTACAAACACAAAAAATGCATGTGCAAATGACCACAGACAAACAAACATACAGTTAGAAGAACCATTTCTTACATAGTGGCTTGAGTCCTTGTCTTCCACCTTGCGTTTTTTGGTGTCATTTGGAAACTCTGGTCCGTTACGTCGCTTATCTGAGTTCCTAAGACTTTCTGGCAGCAAGGAGTTACTCTGTAGATGAAAGCAGAAAGGAGTAGAAGGACAGAACACAGAGGGATAGGAGAGCAGAGGAAGTGAGATTAGAGAAATAAGATAGGTTGTGTAGAAAGAAAATAGAAAAAAGAGAAAGGAGAGTTTGGAGGACAAAGGAGGGGGGGGAAACAAGAAAACGGATTTGCAGAGGTGAGACAATGTTGCCATTTACAGTTCAGATTGTGCTTTGTTGTGTGTGCATTCTGCATGAGCTCACTAAACCGTCTGATCCATCTACCACTAATTACAACAGCTATTCAGCCATGTGTAGAGCAGGTTAGAAAAACAGACTCTTACTCGCAAATAGGTTAATAGTTCACAGAAGCATGAATTAGGCAGCACTAACACTTAAACAGCAACCTCTTTTCTCACTTGACCAAAGTCAGTCGCAGCCACACACAACCACACACCTCTGAAGTTGATGATTACATTAAGTGGCTCTCAAAATCTATCAGTGCTCCCTCTCCTGGCTCTGACAAGCTGCCCTGGCTGCAGTTATGCGTGTGTGTGTATGTGTCAGTGTGTGCGTGTGTGTATAATGTGTAATTGACTGTAAAAGCCGGTGTGTATGATCAAGTGTGTAACAGACTGTGTGTGTGTGTGTATTACTTGCATAACACTCCTGTGTCCCTGTGTCCCAAGACTACACACACACACACACACACACACACACACACACACACACACACAGCGCCCCCCCGGCCTCCTGACCAACGGATCCTATTGTTAATGGATTAAAGCTTCATGTTGAGTCCATTATAGTCTCAGCCTGTCAATGAAATGTGCATCCAACATACACAAACACGTATGCGCATGCACACATCTAGCGAGCAAGCGCTTGGGCTTTGAGGGGGGAAAGGGTAAATGAAGGAGGAATAGCTACGAGAGGAGGAGGAGGGTGAGAAAAAAGGGTAAAGGGAGGGGATGAGATTAGAGGACAGAGAGGATGGAAGGAGGGTGTGAGAGTGTGGAGGAGAAGAAAGGGTGACAAGAGACAAGGGAGGGAAAGAGAGGGTTGGGGGGGTGAAAATCTGTATTCTGCCAAAGGCCCCTTCCTTCACGCCCTCCCCTCTTCCTCCCTCCCTCCCTCACATCTCCTCCCCTTTATTGAAAGGTTTTAGTGAGCTGAGCACAGGAGCACTGACCCGCAAAACATAAGCAATCCCTCCCTCCCTCCCCTGTTCGCTTTTAGCATGGTCTCTCTCTCCCTCTCTCTCTCCCTCTCTCACTCCCTCCCTCTCTCTCACTCACACACACACACACACACACACACACAAGCTCAGTGTCATATGACTGCTGCCCCCCTCCCCTCCCTTTCCCAAGCCCTCCCCTCTCAGTGGTGGTGATATTAAACACAATGAGAGTCTTTAAGCGCGGGATCAGGGGCGGTGGGAGGGGGGAGAAGGGGGTAATCTGCTCACTGAGGTGTTAAATAGGCACAACAATGCAGGCTAGGCTGGAGGAGTGTGTGTGTGTGTGTGTGTGTGTGTGTGTGTGTGTGTGTGTGTGTGTGTGTGTGTGTGTGTGACCATGCTAAAAAGCTCATTTGGAGGAGAAAGGAAACCTAACAGTTCAGAGCAGATCTGGGGCAGAACTAAACAGGCAGGCCAAAGCTCTACCCGAGAGAGATCCCCAAACACACATAAACACACACACACACACACACACACACACACACACACACACACACACACACACACACACACACACACACACACACACACACACACACACACACACACACACACACACACACACTTTAAAACTGACAGTCAAAAATATACAACTTAAGGATGAAAGCTATTTGGGTGTGAAACAGAGGTAAAAAAAAACAGCACAGTGCTTTTATGCATAATGACATGGAGAGGTGAACTTCATTGATCCCTGAGGGGAAATTGGGTGACTGCAGCAGCAAAAAATAGAAAAACACAAGTAATACTATAAAATGAATGCCTGCCTCAGCAACAGCAAGACTTTACTGGGATATAAGTTTAAGTTTCAAGTCTTAGTTTTAATGGGACTTAAGAAAGAGTGCTGTGACTCTTTAGATACTACATTCTCAATAAAATACCATTACACGTGACATAACTGCATGGTTGGCCAAAGATGACCTTGGTTGAATAGAAGGGATTAAAGCGATGGAATGTTTTTTTGGGACTGTTTTTCCTACATAACCAACAGTAGATAATTCCTTAAGTACAATTCCAAACAATTAGATTTTTTGGAAATTCTATATGTAAACTCACTGTAGTTTACTTAGGGCAGACAGTTTAAATATTTTTTTTCCTACAGCCTGAGTAGAGCTACTCGTCCTGTAGATGTCTATCAACGGAGCTAAGACGGACTAATCTCACTGTTGAGCTAAAAGTCAAACTGCGCCTAAGAACAACGTCACATTCCCCAAAACCAAACTATCCCTTTAAGAGAGACAAGAAAATAAACTGAGTGGTTTGTCAGAACAGTAAACATTGCTGCAGAAAGAGGAAGTACTTACTGTGCCGGGCTCTCGCTCTATTGCCATTGGAAATGCATACATGCGGTTGAGGTCACAGGGTTGGGTGTTCAGCAGAGCAAAACGCAAAATGAAATAGACAAGAAGGAGAATGAGTTAGAAATTCCACATTTAATTATATGTATAAATAAGAACGTTCACACAGAAAACTGACTCTGAAGCAGCTCAAACAACTTTGGTCACCATTAACCATTGGTTTAAAAGTGAACTGTACTTTTTTTGTCATTCATAAACTTCCACGTCAGCCAACTGGGGGGTTGGCTGACGTGGAAGGATGGGGGATAATTCCTCTTTCTATTTCAGGTGGTGGAGGGTGTGTGTTTGTTCACCTCTCAGGTGTTCAGGTCCTGCAGGGTGAGAGTCTGGTCCGGACATGTGGGGCTTTTTATCACCACCATCTTTTCCCACCAGATGGGGAGGAAGAGTACCAAGTGCTCCTGATAGAGCCAGGAGACCAGCCGAACCACCCAGCTGAGAGGGGTGGAGGCCGGCAGGGTGAGGGGTGAGGGGCACAGGGGCACCACCGTGGTTATGGGATAGGTGCTGCTGCTGGAAGACAAGAGATAAAATATAGAAAGAGAACAAAGTTGTTAGTTGAGTTGAGAGAAAAAACGAGGAACATTCAGGGATGTGTGTCGCAGGCCTAAAGCTGGTAATATATCTTAAACTAATGGAGTAGTGCATTTTTGATTCAGTCCTCAGTATATGCTGACTGACCAATAGTGGTCATATTCACCAGCAGTTTTATCCTAAAAACACACCAAAGTTAGTTTTGCTTTGGCCCGTGTAGCCAAAAAAATGACACCTGACACTTAAAACTCAAGCATCAGTGAATGAAACTGAGACACCAATAGGTACAAATCAATAGCACTCTGTAACCTAATCAATAGAGATTTTGGCCCTATTCACGTCTTCAACAGATGGGGCAGTTTCTTTGGTGTCTGGGTTTACACCACCTCAACAAGCTGCTGCAGTCTTCAAGGCGGTGAACACCCCCCACCCCCCCCCACACACACACACACACACACACACACACACACACACACACACACACACACACACACACACACACACACCCCCTCTGGGGTCAAACACTGAACAATACTGACAGCTGGGATCACAGCCCAGAGCCTGAGGATGTGGTGGTAGAAGAGGGGGTGGGGGGAAACGGGGAGGAAAAGGAGGAATGACGGAGAAGTGGGGGGAGAGAGCTGAGAGCCCCAGCTGCTGCCTGCACTGTCAGGTCTTGTGAGGGAGTGAGGTGGCTGAGGAGAGAGGGGAGGAGAGAGGGAGAGAAGAGGGTCAGAGAGAGAAGAGGGAGAGAGAGTTTGGCTGGCAGCCCTGCTCTCTCTTTCACACCAAATCAGGCGCTCGTCTGAGCGTGAAATGCCTTTGTGTTCCAAAACATCATTATTGCCTCCTCAGACAGTAGCCGCGGGAATCCAAGCTCACTGATTCGCCACCGGGAGGGGAGGAGGAAGGAGGGAGAGGAGTGGGGAAGGGGGGGGGGGCACAGGAGGCGACTCTGCAGGGGTGGAAGGAGTGCTGAAGGTCAAACCGACTTTTATCTCACCTAATTGACTAACCCACTCCCCCTCTCCTGAGCCCCCACCTTCTCTTTTCCCCTCTATCCATCCTTCACTCTCTGCGTCCTGCCCCGATGAATGAAAGCAAAACAACAAAACAGTCTTTTAGCCTCAACCTCCATGCCTGCCTGTACACACGGACACACACTCAATTTCCCAGAGTTGGCTCGCCTGCCAAACAATCAAACATAAACACACCCACACGTCACACTTGATCACACTAACATGCGTACACAGAATCTAGATAAACAAGGCAGGCACACACACCCTCACTCAACCATCCTATCCCTGCCTGTTGTTTTCTGGGGAGAACAGAAATGCACGCTCTGCTACACCCAGACGCACACACAAACAGATGCAAAAACACACACACACAAACAGATGCACACACACACACACACACACACACACACACACACACACACACACACACACACACACACACACACACACACACACACACACACACACACACACACGACCCCTGATGGGAGTAAATGGAGGGGAAGTATTGGTGGAGGAAAGGGGAGCCCAGTTTATCATGGGATGTTAGTGTGTGTGCTTGTGTATGCGTGTGTGTGCGTGTGTATGCATGTGTATGTGTGTGTGTGTGTGTGTGTGTGTGTGTGCGCGCGCTGAGGTAGGGGCAACATGCTTCATTACACTCATTTAACTCACAAACGGGGTGAATGACAGGCTGGCGTGGGAGACGGGAGGAGAGGGGAAGAGGGGAGTGTAAGGGCAACGCCGTGACCCCCCCTTTTACAAACACTGAAATCCCTGCAATTAAGACTCAAACAGCAACTGCCAAATCCACCTCTCCCCCATCGCCACACACACACACACACACACACACACACACACACACACACACACACACAGACAGACCCCCCATCAGTCCACGCCAACTAACAAGCCCACCTCACATTTAACTCTCCAAACCCATTGCCCACTTTTTGCTAAGCTAAAGCTATAAAGACCCCCACCCCCCCCTTTCCCACATTCCCCTTCAACTCAACCCCCTGGCCTCACCTCCCACCAGTCAAGCCCCTATGGGCTCCTATAAAGCAGGGTATTCTCAACTACCACCCCATCCCACCCAAAAAGTCACCACCGACAGCTCCACTCTGTGTCTCTCTTTACCTAAACATCAGAGCAAAACCGCGAAAAGCGAAAAGTTTGTTTTTCTAACTTCTTTTCACACTCACCGTGCCAATCCCTTCTCAATCTGAAAAGCCAGTCAGTGAACATCATTCATCACAGGCTGACGACATCTTTTCAATAAACACCTCCCATCACACTTCTCCCACCGATTCAAATCCTCTATTCTCTACTGGGTTTAAACACATATATATATCTCCATGCCCTTGAGATTGGTTTAGTGATCAAGGAATAGAAATAATTACATTTCTTATAAAACACAGTGTGCTTGTCAATTCAATGTAGTTTTTTTGTGCAGGTGTGTAATTTATAACACCAGAACCACAGCTTTACTTGCTTTAGTAGTGATTCTAAAGGTTTCAAATAAAAGCCGGAAAAAAATATTTAATTACTTTGATTTGCTCGGCTGTTGTGTTTGAGTTATTGAATTGAATTGAAATGTCTTTAATGTCCCCAAGGGGCAATTTGGTTCACAACAGGTAGCCAACACATACACATTCGCATAAAAACACATAAAAACATGAAATGATGAATAAATAAAAGCATAAATACACATGTACACTATATATATATATATATATATATATATAAAAAAAAATAAAAAGTGAAAAAATGTATGTCTTTGTTCCTATTTATTACAATACAAGCTAATAATGAAAAAAAAGCATAGACAGTTGTGTGTTTTTCAGAGTATCTTATAGTATAGTATTCTCTCACGTTTACCCTATCTTTTACTGCTGTTAGTGAACTATGATACGCTCTTCCAATCGCAACACTAGCCCTACGACTGTGGCCTCACATTCCACTGTGTCGCATTAAGCATCTGAGAGGTTAAATGACACTACTGACAAAATACGAAAGAGATGCTGGACCGAGAGTACACACAGAAATACAGATACAGTTGATTTAAGTACAGTTTAGTAAAGAGTAAGTAGAGGAATACACACGCTGGGTGGAAGACCTGGCAGTCCACGTACCCCGATAACGGCATTGAGCTCTGCCATGGTCACCTGTTTTGCTCGCTCCACGGCTTGGACCACCTGCTGCTGATGCTGCAAAACACGCAGACACACACACAATGTTGCTAAAGACAAAAAGTAAGAAGGCTGATTTATCAGTAAAGCTAGCAGAGATAGCCGTAAGTATATAAATGGCATAAAAAACAGTCTGTAGCTCAAAGTCACACATACTTACCTCCTGTGAAAGGAAGGGAATGACTTGTGCACAGATGGTGTTTAGTCTCTTGGCAATCTCCGTCTGATGGAGGAAGAGACACACAGAGACAGAAAGAGACTTAATTGTTAATAACATAATTACATTCATTTAGAAAAGACAGCTGTTCAGTAACACCAATAAAGTAATACAAGCACACACAAACGCGCTGGAAACTGCCGCCTCCACGGCAAGCGGACAAACACGTACGCACACAATGAAACCCCAACCAGTCTATGATACAATACCCATCCACTTCTCTCTACACACAAATCCAGTGTGTGCCATTTTCAGCATCACTCACGCACACACACAGTACAATGAGATTTTCCTTTCTAATCATCAGCATGAGCTCAAGTTTCTCTCTTGCCTGTTGTATTTCTTTTGCTCTCTCTCTATCCTCTGTGCTCTTGTCCCTCTTCCCATCAGCACTTCACCATAATCTCATCAGCAACTAACTTCATTTGCTCTCCCCCAGTATCCATGCCAACACATCCGCCTGCCCCCCAAACCCCCGGAGGTGGCAACAATTGGCTGAAACCAGATACCCCCACAGTGGCACCAAATCAGATAAGGGGACTCATATTACATATCATCCAATCAAATTGATACGAAGAAGGCCAGGGTGAAGAGGGAATTGGAGGAGCCATGAAACGTAGTAATGGCTCATCAGACACACACATCCCACATAAATAGATACACAGTGAAGGCTTAAAAGGGCTATGTGTTGTTGTTATGCGTATACCTTGGAAAAAGTTGTAGGATTTTCATCATTGTGTTGAAAACTAATTACACTTTTCAAAACTCAGTGAACAAGAGCAAAACACAGTTCTCAAGCTGAAGGACGTTCGGCAATCTATGGGGGTTTTACTGTCCCAACAATTACGTCACCGGATGTGATAATATACAGGACTTCCTCTTTTCAGACACTTTCGAGTTACAAATTGCCAAACAAACTTTACTTACTTTGTCAGTTTCCTTCCACCATCAGCTGCGCAAGAGACTTGTGGATATTGCTGCAATTCTTTTGTCATTAAAAGAGCCTACAGCCACACTAGCGGTTCTTTAAGGCATCATGCTGCTTTGAATTAAACGCTAACACATCTTAGTTTAGTCTGTTACTATGCTAGCATTAGCTAATTAGCAGCTAATGATGATGGGAATGTATTTGATCAAAAACCAAAGTATTGGACAAATTAAAACATTGACCTTCATGATGATGCTAGATGAAAATTCTGGGATAAGTTATTACAATTCATCCTGAAGTGGGAATGAAATGTCTGTATGTACAGAACATCATCTCAATCCATCCAGTAGCTGCTGAGATATTACAGTCTGGGCCAAAGTGACTGATTGACAGACCGATTGATATCGCCACTATACATTATTTTAATGAGTTCTATAACTCATGAACAGCTCACATGATGGAGACGCCCTCTTTAGCACGTAGCATACTTCCTCTCACTGGACCTCTCTGTCAAACACATACAGACCTATTAGCTTGCTGAACTACTGATCCTGATTCAGCCAATTATGTACTTAGATGAGCTAAATAAAGTACTAGCCCATCCATAATGAGTCTCGAAGTTAAAACAAGTAACTGCTTCGCCTATAATAGAACTATAATAACTATAATGTCAGGCAGACTTTACCTGCAAGTCCTTTCTCAGAATCCTGAGTTGTAAGCCTATCATTAGTCTTGTATAAAGGCTCGCTGATTAGGCCGTCTGAGAATAGTCTGAACAACTACTATCAGGTCAGCTCAACCAATCTAACTAAGCTAACTGACAAAACTAACAAGGATCAAACAGATAAGGCCACAAATACCTGAAGCTGCAATCCCCGAGTGAGCCATCATTACAAATTATGACTCAAGAATATTTGGAGGAAATAAAATAAAGGTAACAAAAGCGCACAACTCATGTGTCCTGAATAACAACATTGAAGATTTGCTATGGTGCGACACCCACACTGTGATATTGATATAATTGAGAGAGTGGGTAAAGAAAAAGTTGAGGAGAGACGATGCAAGTGTACACACACACACACACACACACACACACAGTGTGCTAACAGAACAGGCTTTCCATTACACATATAATTGGAGCATTATTGGCACACTACATACACACAAACCCGTACCTTCCCAGCAGGAGGTGGGTTGTTGTGGATCCCCCGTACCCCCCGCCCACAGAAGCTTGTTGCTCTGACAACTGCAGCCCCAAGCTAATGACCTCCCCTGGAGTTTTAGTGTGTGTGTGTGTGTGTGTGTGTGTGTGTGTGTGTGTGTGTGTGTGTGTGTGTGTGTGTGTGTGTGTGGACAATAGGAAGAGATGCATCTCCCTCACAATGAAAGAACAGTAGCTTCACATGGACATAAAACGAAAGAGGAGCCAAGAAAAAAGAAACGATGGTGGGGGTGGGGGTGTAGCACAAGAAGGAAGAGATCCCATACTTTTAAATGGAGACTGAGGAAGGCGGAAAGAAAGGGACAGAACTTGGGGTGTAAAAGGGCGAGAATAACACAAGAGGAGAAGGAGAACAAAAACTAATGGGAGGGAGTATGAGAGTCGAGGAAGCATCCCCACTCCTCAGTGAAGCAGCCAGGCCAATCCACCTCCAATTTCCTCTGGTCTGACTGGTCGATAGCTGTGGTAATTACTGGTAAACGCTCTGAGCCATGCACCACTCCTGTGGGGAAATGTGTGTCTGTGTGCATGAGAAAGAGAGTGAGATTTTTCCTCCCTCACCCATGTGGCTACACTGTACGCTTGCCTTTCAATGCGTCCACGTATGTACTCATGTATAAACATGTTTGACTTTCTGTGTTTGTGTGTACATTACTGTGAGTGTGTTCAATTGTGCCATCCTTGTGTTTGGATACATTATTTATGGCTGTACATAAACGTCCTTGCCTTACATTACAATAGGTGAGTGTCCTTTCTGCATTTTGTGTTTGCACACTTGTGCGCCTGCCCTACTAAAGTGTGTGCTGGTGTGTTTTTCACCTCCCTGCTTCTAAAAGGGAGAGCTCCACTGTCTCTCCTCTGCCGGTCTCACCGTGATCGATTCCTCTGCCCTCCCCAGCCCTGCCCCTCTAATGTAATAAAGCAGGCCGCTCCCCTAGACAGCACCAATCAATCTACAGAGCCATTCATCCTGCCTCTGGGCTCAGGCGGCCGGCCCTAACTGGGGAAATGGAGACAGAGCCCCATCGATCACGAATAAACACACACACACACACACACACACACACGAATACAGTAGAACACACACAAATGCGAGGACACGTCAACAGGCACACACACCAAATACATCAAAACCCTGCCATGAGAAAGGGAGGGAAAGAGAGAGAGAGGAAGAGAGACAAACAGGAAGACAGAGAGAGAGAGAGTAGACAAGAGGCAGACAGATAAGCATACATACCTGTTTGTGCATTTCGATGTTGAGGCCATAGGACATCTCGTAGTACTGCAGAGGACAGAGTTGTGTTAGATTAGTAAGGCATTCTGAACCTTTTAAATAAAAAGCGAGAACGTGTGATCTTGGAGACAACAAACAGGCATTCAGATATTTTGAGAATAGAGTGTCACACCAGGTCAATCTCACAGAGCAATCGAACTTTGTTTAAAAGGTACAGCACCCAAATCAATTGCTTTTTACCTGTGCAGGAACGTCACCATAAAGGAAAAGTAGACAAGTATGTTTGCAAAGAATTCCGAACATTTTTTTTCTTTGTTTCTCAAGACTAAAGGCCTTAGACACACACACACACACCTCTTTTGACCTTATGAATTTGCATTTATCTTTGGAAAGGAAAAAGAAATACAGAACCTTGTCCATTCAATCTAGAGAAATGATGGGTTTGCTGAAATACAGGAGCTTGGTTTAATCAAAATGAAAAATCAGCCAGCTCACAAATTGCAAAGTCGTAACAGAGTCTAATCTGACACTCTAATCATCTCCATTAGCATGTCTAAGTAAGGGAAACGCTGTGTGTAACAAAAACAGGTGTAACATTAATTTTGCTGTGCAGTTTTCCTTTTATACCTCTTCCCTTTGTTCAGATGATACAGCAATTACGTAATCCTCAAATAAAATATTTCATTCATCAGCCTTTAGAAAGAGGAAAGTTCGGCTACAGAACATATAAAGCTGGTGGGGACACAGCATCCTCCTCAAGGACACTTCAGCAGGGCAACAGCCTCACTATGTGATGTTGTGTGTGGTGGGGGGATGAACTGAGTATCACGCGGATCTCACCATGACATAGTGTCTCTGCATCTCCGTCTTTTCACTGGCCAGCTTCTCACACTCCAGCTTGAGACTGAAAAACACAACAATACACAAACTTACAACTCAACTCAAGTTAAGCAAACTTGATCTCATTCAAGCCAAGCCCATAAATGTAAAGTAGCAGCATATATATATATATATGAGCCCTTGTGGGTGGTTATTTAGTTGTTTTGGTTTTACAGTAAGTTTCACTGCCGATGAGTGAATATCAGCAAGTATTTAGGACATAGACAGATGTATGACTGTCTGCCTCCTGTCTAAAACATCTGCTCGCACTGAGAATAAACAATGAGGATGTTGAACACACACACACAAGTTTTCCTACAATACATATTTAACAATGGTGAAGCATACAACTTAGTAAACAGGTTAATGTTCCCTGTGATCCCTCTTTTCCTTTTGCTCTTTTAAATTAAAGCATCCAAAAATGCAAACACAAAGCTTAACAGAGCAGAGCACAAGGCTGTTTTTTAAGAAAAATGAAAGTGAAATGGAGAAGACGGTGCTTTCTGGCGAATGATTATAACCACCGTCTGTTGGCTGTAGGATGTTTGGTTTAACCCTGCTCTTTGCATGTGTGAATCAGGATGTGACTTGGAAACAAAGCAGCCTGTTTTTAGGTCGGTAGCTTTTCACCTGTTGCGGCCAACCCTCCCCGACAACACAAATAAGTAAAAGTAGTACATATACACAAAGCAAAGAAAAACACAACTGCACACGTACTCAGGCAGACTTTTCCCAATACACAACCACACACACACACACGGGAAAATAAGGAGTGATTTATGAAACCCTGAGCCCACACGCCACCCTCTGGCTCTCACCCATCACCAAGACTTAGACCTACCGCAGTGTTAGCACTAACATTGATGCCTGGGTCTGCTGCATGTGTGTGTGTGTGTGTGTGTGTGTGTGTGTGTGAACCTAATCCAGGTTTATGGGTTAGTATGAGGCCAGGGCTGGGGTTTTGTTCATTATGGTAAGGGGGATGACTGTGGTTAGGGTGAGGTTTTAGTGTTAGAGGGCAGATGACAATGAGGAAATTGGCCACCGTGCTGCCCATATGAAGACAGAGGAGCCTTCCATGTTAAGAGTGTGTGAGTGTGTGTGTGTGTGTGTTTGTTTTATCCACCTGTGGTACTGTGCTTGAAGAAACTGGAACTCCTCCTTGATGCGGTCCAGTGACTCTGGGATGGTGAACTTGAAGGGCTGGCCTGGAGCCTGGTGGGGCGCCTGACACACACACACACACACACACACACACACACACACACACACACAGAGGGGATTATTAACATCATAGTGCCTCATTATATGGCCAACAATATGCATCTGCTCCTCTCCAGGCTCACATGTAATGTCAACAACTTTATTTTATTAAACAAACTATATCTTCAATGCCACTCTGCTTCTGAGGAAAGATGTAGAGCCCAATTAACCAGAATAAAGAGCTTTAAATTTGAACATGTGCTTAGCATAAAGGCTAAAAAAAAAGACAACAAGAGGCGCGGGTCAGACAAAGAGGTAATGTTATCTCCCTGGCTCTGGACACCCGGGTTACAGCCAGGTGAACAACTGTTAAAGCAGGAAGGGAAAACAGTCTTACCGGGTGTCGCCCCTGGGGAAACATTGTTATCTCCGGGAAGATGTAACCGTTTCCTTCTTTTTACAAAAAAAAAAAAACAACCCGCTTCAAGGGATTAAATGCGGGTACTGTGAGGATGTGGGGTGCTCCTAATCACGGAGACGAATCCATCCGCCGTTATTATTCGGACCAACGGTCGTTAATTTCAAACAAAACCGACGGTTCCCTCCGAGTTCGCCGACCGTTTAATTCGAATCCCTGCTCCTCTCTGTCTCCACTCCGCTCCACCGGCAGTGCGGCCGTAAATCACCCGGAAAAACACGGGAAACGGCTCATTAGCTGGAGGCAGCTAAGGGGGGAGGAGGAGGAGGAGGAGGAGGAGAGTAAGAACCAGGTGAGAAATGAAAAAAGACTGGAGCCACCTCAATCACTCCGGCGTTTGTATTTTGTGTAGGATCCGATGTATTCCGAGTACAGAGAGGCGACCAAACAAACAAGAACAAATTCAAGCCAGCGGAGCCTCAAACCGACAGCCGCAAACTGTCAGTCAGAGCATCAGAAACAAATCCACACAAGTTAATTGCAGTGAAGAGTTCCCACTTGACTCGCCGCGGTCGCTAGCTGGCGGTTGAACAGTCAACAAAAACAGAAATATTTACTTCCCCGCTGAGTTTGGATGCAAAAACCTGCGTCCAAAATAGGTTTCACCATTTAAAAAAAAAAAAAAAAGGAGGAAAGATGTTGTTAGTTTTGATAGCAACAACTCCCACAGCGGCAGCAACAGTCCACCGTCTAGCTCTGCTTTACCTCAATGGCAACTTTCTCACGCGGTTTCACGCTCCCAGCTAACCGAAACTGTAGGCCGGCCCACAAAACGGCCACGGACCAATCAGAGCCGCCGCTCCACGTGGGGACACTAATGTAGATTACGAAGCTGACCAATAGCCGCTCTGTAAACTGCCCCGAGTCTGTTGACCTGGTTGAGCTACTCGGATTCTAGCCAATCAGAGCGTAGCAAGAAGCTGCCATTCCGGAGGCGCGCAGGGCGGGCAGTGCGGTCCGTGAGGCAAGTCTCACCTGTCAATCAAAGTAACGTGGGCTCAGCAGGAGCAGGGTTGAAGATGCACACACACACACACGCACACGCACACACACACACACACACACACACACACACAGAAACATACTGTCTTTCTTAGTAGCTGCTGTGAACCTTCCTAACACGTGTCATGGTGAATCAACTCAAATCTCTCTCTCTTCCTCTCCTCTGTGTCTACCTAATAATATACACTGTGCACATTTATTTAGTAGGAATTGAACTCACTTTGTGTTCCACTTCTCTTAAAAGAAACACAATTTAATTACATCCCTAATCTAGTTCTCGCTGCATGTTTCAAGCAGTTTATGGCTGTTTTCACCTACAGTGCAGTCAGCGAGCCTCAAAGATAACTCATAGACGTAGGAGTCCAGGGACAAACCCAAAACCACAACTGTAATGGAATAGCGTGAGATCTTTCCTGGTACTGGTTATGTCACTTCAAAATTGTATAGTGTGAACACTATTTCGATACAAAGAAGAGAAACTTGCCAGGGGAAATCCTGATTTGTAGTAAAATAAAGTTCACAGAATGGTAATCATCCAAGCACACAAATCCAGAGAGAAAAAGTCAAACAAAGGTTCCCCAAAACAGGTCAGCAGCACACATAGAAAGAAAGCAGAGAAGGCATTAGGTGCCGAAAAGTGAATAAATTATTTTTATATGCTCACTTTGTGCACAAATATTGGTGATTATGCTATAGGGAAAGATAGACATTAAACTCACAATGATGATGACAATATATTTGGCTCTAACTTCCATATTCCACAACTTTTGGTCAGTAGGTCAGTGGGGGAACCACAAACTTCCTCTCAAATTTAGGACCAAATTCCTTCCATATAACAATGATGAATAATGTTATCTAGGGAACATAAAAGATGCCCTCATTTATTAACCCTCCTTTTAACTGCCTATACAGCACAAATCACAGCTAAAGCCAGAATAATGACACCTTCACCACTCGTCCTGGAGTTGTAGTCGTGTATTTTTGTGTCTGACGAACCTCACCAGCATATTAACCGATGAAATACTAAGTGACTGACGACAGATGTGCTAAAGGGACCACGTCATGAAGGGTGAGGCGGTTGAAACTGGGTTGTAAAGCAGACTCAGGGTTTTCCGAGCTCCACTTATACCGTCTAAACACCGCTCACTTCACAGGGAAAAAGACCCTCAGCTCCACGCTGACCTGTGATTGGCGTGGAGAGCTCAACCCCTGACCCTGTGACCTATGACCTCTGCAGTGGCTGATCCAGTCCATATGAGAGACTCCTGACTGTGACCAGTCGTGACCTTTTCCCAGCTCTCACACAAACACACACACAGGTGCTATACAGTGGGTGGTACTGTTAATCACAGTGGCGTGTGCGTGCAGCCATACTTATGTGTATGTGTGCGTGTGTGTGTTTGTATGAGTTTTTATCCCATTTAGTCTCTGTGTTTGTTAACACTTGTCTCAACCTTATGTAGACCATATATAAGATATACACTTTAAAAATAATCTTTAATTGCCAAATGGTTACAGTAACATAAGCACAGATGTGTGAATATATGGTGGATTTCCATTACAGAAGAGACATGGCAAACCCTGAACTTCTGAAAACTCCTGAGTCTCAGAGGCATAGGTTATTTCTCACATTTCCACTGTATGTTTACAATCTAGGATGGGAAAAAAGAGGTTGTCGATTGTCCCGAGAGGTGCAGAGTGCCTGGATTATGGTTGTTGATTTCCTATCATTTTAATTTTCTTAATAATTTCTATGTGATGTACCCTGAAATATCCCAAACACTGCACACAGCACCTTTTTGTTTCTTCCCTCGTCTTCTTCATATGTTTTCCCCCAAATTCTTCAGGGCTCGGATGTTGTCAATTCATCACTTGAAAATTAATTTGACATAGTTCTTGTGGTTTTTTTTTTTCTCCAGCTGTAGTAGTAAAAGTGTGTTAATGTAGTCCTCATAGGTTCACCTGAATGCACCTGAAACCTGAGCTCAGACACAATGTGTGGAAATGGAAAGCAGAACCTGAGACAATAGATGCATGTTACATTACATCCCCTGAGTTCCTATAAAAAGAGATAATCGCTAAATATATTTGGTCTAATGTTTTCTCAGTTCTCGAAAATAATAGATAACAAGCACAAAACTACAAGACTGTCTCCCCCACACCCCCACAGGGAAGCGTCTATCACATTTGGATATTAGTTCAGTAAGTTACTCATATTTACTTCCCACAATCTGCATCCACCAAGTGACGTCTTTTCCACACCTCAGCACACATCCTTTCTCACCTCACCTCAGAGCTTTCTATAAAAGATAAAATATGTTCCGATACCACGTCACCAGTCAGCAGTGTGTCACACATCAAGGTGCAGTGAGTTAGCTGTGGACCCGATAACTCATCACTCAGAAATAATCCTTCAAAAAATGGCTACTTGCCCAAGAAAGCAACACAGTGTAACATCACATTTCTTTGCCCCAAAGAACAGCAAAGCTTTTTAAACTACTTTTCTTATGAGCAAAGAAAACAATCATGGTTTCCTGTTGGTCCTTTTTCTGCACTTCAGTGATTTATTTGGAATGATACAGTATCACAACGATCATTAAAATTTAACTGCACAAAAAACACCAAATGCTCTCTGCTCACAAAGAGTTTAAAGACCTACTTTTAAGCTTTGACATAAGACAAAGGAAGCTGTTTGACGGTCATGAAAGGTCCGTGTGGATAATACTCACACACCCTTCGCTGCATGAATGTGCTTGATGAAAGGTAAGATTTATTTAAAAATAGCATTTATTAAAATTAGCTTTTCTAAGGTTACATTGTTCTGTTGTCTTATAGAAGTAAAAGTCATCTTATATTTATTTTCTCTTGTCTGTATTTGCATGTTTGGTATTGAGGTAATCCAGAAGTATTGGAAATCAAGTCAGGTAACTTTAATATTGTGATACTATATTTTTCAACAGGTAATTAGTAGTTGTATAGGATTACTTTTTAAAAGTAAAGCTGCTATTCTCATTTACCCCTTTATCAGTGTAACAAAAGGAGATGACATGTACGGTAATGTATGTTGAGAGGGTTTATTATTTCTTACAATAACAGCATACTACAAAGGACCTTCAATTCAAGGAATAGCAACGTTACATAGCTCAGACCACTGTGAGAGTCTCCTCTTAAGGTCAGGTTGGCAGCACATTTTAACTCAGACTAGCAGGATTATATATATATAGATATATCGATTATAGGATTAGGACTTCGAGGTAACCATTAATGGCTTACATAGTTAGAGAGTATAGTCCCACTTAAGGAAAGAGGTCTTGATACTGTAGGTTTATATAAAGTGTCTGTTTCTGAACCGACCCAAACGTTCTCAGGGATACTTTGTGTTCTGCTTTAGTGATCAGACAGCAACAGTCACCAGGCAAATGGATAATTGCACATGAGCTCACTGGCCTCCTGATTTCCTTAACAAATAGCCCATCCCCTCATTCACTTCAAAAGTCTCTCTCTCCCTCCCTCCCTCCCTCTCTCTCTACCAGTCATTTGTTTAGAGAGGAGAAGCACACAATTAGCCTCTGCTTTGGATGGGGTACAAGAACCTGCCATATAAGCCTCATTTGGTTTGCAAATGTCCCATTTCTTTCTGATTTTAGTGGCTAAAACAAATGGTTGAGCTTTGTTTACAAAAGAGGAAGGAGAGAGAGTGGCAGAGGGAGAGAGAGAGAGAAGGGAGTGACATGAGGGAAAAGAGGCTATTTTATCTGTGACCCGGTCATCTCGCCTGTAGAGGAGAGAAGAGGCTCTCCCAGATAATGACTGAACAAGCAGCTTTGTGTGGGACGACAAATGGAGTGATCCCACTCTCGTCCCACTTACCACAAGAAGAGCGTTGGTGTTGGTGTGTGTTGGTGTTGGTGTGTGTTGGTGTTGGTGTGTGTGTGTGTGTGTGTGTGTGTGTGTGAGCTTATATGCAAACATATGTGTTTAGTTGGGCCGTGCACTATTTGAATGTGTGTGTATGCGCATTTGGTTAGTTTGGTTAGTCTCAGTGTGTGTGTGGTTGTGCGTGTGTGTGCGTCAGGAGAGGGTGTTAAAGAGTGTATTCATGGTCATGAGGTGGTGTGTGTGTCAACAGCAGATGATTTGCGTGAGGGTTCTGGCCGAGCTGTCCCATGGAGCCCTTTTGTTTTGTTTTGACTCTTCTGTTTTTAATGGACAACCAAGGACATCATTTGAATACCATCACCCCCGTCTGTCTGCCACTTTCTCTGTATTTTGTTGGCGGTGGGGGGGGAGCTGTTTGGTTTCCTCTTTGGAAGAATTTGAGTCCCTTTGTGCCAAATCCAGTCTTCTTGCGCCCAATTTGGACTGAAGTTCTGCGTGAGCGGAGGAGAAGAGGAGTAATGGATATAACGTATAATATTTCAGCACAGGCCTTCAGAGACTCCTTAGGAAGATGTCAATCTGTTACCTACTCGTGAAGCACACTTCACATTTCAGTACTTGGCAGGATCAGCTCTCTCCCAACGATCAGAACCATACAAGGGACAAAGGCACTAATCTGTAGTGTCAACACAAACTGCTGCCAGTGAGAACTAATGATGCAAGTGTATTTACTTTGCTCTATCAAAACTTTTCTGTCTTTGGGTCAACATGTTGTTTGCTCAACTATATCCTACAATGATACATCCAATGTATTTATTA